AGGTAGGTGAGAACCAACCATTCCTGTGACATAAACTTGCCAAAGTGAATGAAAATTATGACATTTGAATAGAACTGATGGAAGAAAAGACGTCTTGTGCCTGACCCGAGAGGGCTGTGATTGCCATGAGACATGGAATTGTGCTCTGGCTGCCCCAGCAGAGCCCCACAAGCCGAGGGATGTCCTGGATGGTTGTTATCCAGAAGGCAGGAGCAATATCCAGGGTGTAATAACCACATTGTAGCTCCTCCATGGACACTAATCAGCCTTTCCTCTCTTCCTGGTGGCTTTCATATGGCTTCACATCCAGGTGCTGGTGTGGATGGTGCCTGTGGTATGGACAGTTTAGAGCAGGAGTTTGTTTATAGGTCAGGACCGAGGTAAATCAGTTGGAGGGGGATGCTGGATGAGAATGGATGAGTGCAAAGCCTGGAAGGTCCTTGTACCTCACTTGGCAGAGAGGCACAGTGGATTTATATTGCTCCCATGAGCCCAGCACCTCTCCACTGTGATAATGAATTTCCCACTTTTTATATCCCCCATCCCTTTCCCAGGACCATCCCTCCAGTCAATACAGACAAGCACCCCCTCAGAAAGGCCATTTCCTATAGTCCCAGCGCTCTCCTCCCTCCCACATGGGTTTCAGTGTGTCCTCGTGATGGCAGTGGGGATGTGGGTGGGTGGAGAACAGGGCTGGAGGAGCTTTGCTGGATCGGTTTGGGGCTCTTGGCTTGGTGCCCTGGGTTGTGCCATGGTCAACATCCAAAGGAAGCTCAGTGATGCCTGAGGGCTCCTCAAGGAGCAGCCACATCCCTGGGCTGGGCTGGTGCCCCCACATCCTCTGACAGAGCCCTGTCACTCATTGTGCCCCTTGTGCAGACACCTCCATGGGGGACAGATTGTGTGACAGCATCAGCAGAGGCACAGAGAGGGGGTGGCCTGGGCCAGGTGCTGAATTCCCCTGGGGACACGGTCCTTGCCCCATGCCAAGCAGGCAGGAGAGGCTCCAATGGGCAGCAAAGGGTTTCAGGGGGCTGGCCAAGCCCCAAGTGGGTTGCCCAACACTCGGCAGAGCACGGCTGCTTAAACGTGGAAGGACAAGCACTTCAAAAGGACAAAAGCCCCTATCTCCAGCCCCGCCGGCACAAACCTCCCCGGCAGCGAGAGTGAAACTGGACTATCTTGCAAAAACACTTTGAGCAAACAGCGCTCAATGGAAAGCATCTGATAAGAGCAGCTGCACTCCTGGTGGCTCAGGCAAGACGACTCTGGTGCCCCATTAGGACTGCGGCTCCCTCGGGGCCGTGCCACCTCCGCTCTCTGGGGACACACCATGTCCACCACCATCTGCCAGGTGATGGGGTTCCTCGTGTCACTACTGGGCATTGGGGGGACCATCATGGCCACGGCCATGGACACGTGGAGCACGCAGGACCTGTACGACAACCCGGTCACGGCTGTGTTCCAGTACCAGGGGCTGTGGAGGAGCTGCGTGCGGCAGAGCTCTGGCTTCACGGAGTGTCGGCCGTATTTCACTATCCTTGGGCTGCCAGGTAGGGGCAAAAACACTCCAGGTGTCACCCAGGGGCTGTGCTGGAGCTCTGCACAGTTTTCATCTGAAAGGAGGAGCAGGTATCTTAAAGCACTTTGAGGGGAATAACATTTCCAGTGTTACATTTATGAGCATAAAATAGGGGCACATTTGCTGCCAAAATAATTTTTGCGGTGGGGTTTATTGGTGGGGGTTAGAACCTGGAGCATGTGTGTGGGATCTCTGGCTGAGCATCACTGGTTCAGCACCACTGCTGGCATAAATCTCACCTCCACTGAGGTGAGGGGAGCGAGGATGTTTAACTCCCCAGCTATTGTCCCTTGGAATGGAAACACAAGGAAAAAGGCTGCATGCAATTGTGTAGTGTTATCAGGCAATGGAAATAATTGAAATGTACTTTTTTTCCATGGACAGAACCGGAACGGGAGAAATCTGCCTGTGAGAGGCATGGGTAGGAAGGGCATGAAGGGGAAAGGTGTGTTCAGTCACTCCCATCACCAGGGCAGTGTTAGTGCCTACAGAAGCAGAGTGCAGAGGCATATTGCTGTTCTGTTCGCTTGCTAATATTCCCAAAAGAGCTGTTTTTCCCACCCCACTACATGTGAGGGTATTCCAGTGCTCCCAGCCCAGCAGTAGATTGGGAATGTTTCTCTCTCCTGGTGCATGATCACAAAAAGGTCCGAGCAAGCACTGCTGTTCACAGGATTTCTGCAACTGTTGATCCAAGGATGATGTGTGTTCCAGCCCTGTATCCTCAGGGACGCCATTCTCAGGGATGCCATCCTTAGGGTGCCCTCAAGCTCTGCTGAGGGCCCATGACTCTCCAAGGGATGCCATGGAATAAATGTGTCTCTGTGTACCCAGCTTCAGGATTGCCAGGTGAATTCTTTCCCATTTGGAAGAGCAAACCTGATATTCAGAGTCACCCCTCCCATGGGAATATTTATTTTAAAGACTAAATATTAGATTTATTCAACTATCTCTACAAAATGTTGACCACTATATCTCTTCATAATGCTGTGGGCAGGTGATTGTGTTTTAAATGAGCCATAAGGAAATGGGAACCATCTTTTTGATGTCAATTTATCCCAATCAAGATTTTACTTTTTCAGTTATTTTTAAGTAATATGACAATAAAGAAATGTGCAAAGCACTCACAGATAATTTCTGTTGTTAAAGATATCCTGTCAGAGTTATCTTTATTAATCCATTTAATTAATTCCTTCAAACATATAGAAAAAACGTCCCTGCTGGAATTTGCTTAACCTAAACACCTGCAGGAATCTACTTAATTTCCCTAAAATTTCTATATCCCATCAATCATTACTGGTCATAAAGTCAGATTACACCTCTTTATTATGTATTAGCAACAGAAATGCAGGTGATGGTCATTTAAATGGCTTGAAATTGTTTTAACTTGCTCATCTCTTTCCACCCACATGGGGGAGGAAGACGCCTACCCAGTTCCCCTTACCCCTGGAAAACGGGTGCAGGCTGTGGTTTCACATCTCTGGCATTTATTTTGGTGGAGGAGCTATTTCTCTTGGTGTTTTCGCTATTCCCTTGTTGTGGACCACCAGCCCTTGTATGGAAGCCGAGTTATCTTCCCTCACGCAAAAGGTGTGTGCGAAAGGCAGGTTTGTAACTCCGGGGCTTTTTCCTTCCTGCTGCTCCTGATACCACTTTTCCATAGTCTCCCACTTTGTTTGCCTAAGCCCTTCCACTCCTTCCTCCAAGCAGAGGTCATTCACCTTTGGAAAAGCAGCTCTTTTCAGAGGACTTTCAACAGATGCCAAAATTCCCTTGAAACTGCAGTGCTGCCTTTCCAAACAGCTCCCACTTCAAGTCCCGTGAGCCAAGTGGAGAGGTCTTTGTGCCACAGCAGGCCTGGGAGAACTTCCTTCTCCTTTCCACCTTGTAGTGGAGATGGCACATAACTCAGTCTCATGGAGGCAGGAATGGCTGCTGATCATTATCTGGAATTTTTTCTGTCATGTCCTGTTGCGCTCCTCTTCCCCCTCCTTTTCCAACAGCTCCTTTCAACGGAGATTCATGACAGTGCTCCAGCAAAAGTGGAAAATCCGTGGCTGCTTGGCTTGGCCACGCCTGTTGTGTCCTTCCATGGGCACCCAAGGCACTGGGAACACCTCTCCTGAGAACCAGCAGGCTCTCTGTGGGATCTTTGTTTGCTTGGCTGGTTGAAAACACCCCAGTGTTGACACCCAGGAACCTGCAGGAAACACCCAGGAATGAAGGAAGGAATGAATGTCTTGGGGACAAGGAGCTTCCATCATGATCCATAGTCTTGGATTATCAGCCTCTCCTGCCTGCCCTGAAACTAAAGCATTTGCCAAGTAACTTTGGTGGTTGCAAAGACAAATGAAGATTGAAATTTCCTCCTCTTTCTTCCTCCCATCAGGTGCTGCGGAACAACCTCTGAGGGCTGATAAGGCATATCCGACATTCCCTGATGGATCATAACTAATGAGCTCCTACCTGGGGGTTGATGAATGGGAGATTGAAAACCCCCAGCTCGTTAGCTCTTGTTATCAGCTGATAAGGGCAAATTGAGTCATAGGAGCTGAGGCAGTGGGACTGCCGGATGGGAGAAGGTGGTGTATTCCCGGCCTGTGGAATGGCAGCTCTCCCGTTTCCGTGTGCGGTGCGGTGCCAGAGCGGTTCTGCTCCTCTTGCTGTCACCCCACAGGTCAGGAGAGCCACCCAGGCACCCAGCAGCCTCCTGGGAAGGGTTTGCAAACCCTTCTCCCAACCTGTGCAAGGGCTCTGTGCTCCCCTGCACCCTTGGGCGCCACGGTCACCCAGCAAAGCGGTGACAGAGCAGAGAAGTCCCCAGGGCTGTGGAATGTTTTCCACCCGTTTCACTCCATCACAAGCCCACTTTCTCTTCCCTGAAGAGGGGCAGTCACACTTGGGGAGCACCAAAGCCAGACCCAGGGCTGTGGGAGCACGTGTCAGGGCAAGGAGAGGCTGCAAAGTGTCCCAGCCAAATCCCAACAGCCCTTGAAATACCTCCCAGCACCCCCTGCAGGGCTCTGCCGCCTTCTTGTCTCTTCCTGCCAGGGACTCGTGCACAAGTGAGGAGGGGAAGTGTCTGGGAAAAGATGGGATATGTGCCACCTTATTAGAGAATCACCTTGGTATTCAAGTACTCTTTCCCTGACCACTTCTCCAAGTTTTGAAGGTGCAAGTGTCCCTTTTCCTTCTACTTTTCTACTCCACCCAAGAGGAATCTGAAAGATTTTTGCCTCCTTCAAGCCTCAGCTCCCATGGGTGCCCCAGATAATACAGAGTAGATCCAGTGCCCAATTTCCAAGGTTTTCTTCTTCAATATTTCTGTTTTCAGACAGAGGTAATCTTTGAAAATCCCCCAGACTCTGACAAATCCCATTTCAGTCACTCAACGAGACTCTTGGTGTTTTCTGTGCAGCGATGTTCCAGGCTGTGAGGGCCCTCATGATCGTGGGGATCGTCCTGGGAATCCTCGGCCTCCTTGTGTGCATTTTTGCTCTGAAATGCATCCGGATTGGGAGCATGGAGGATACTGCCAAAGCCAACATGACCCTGACCTCTGGCATCATGTTCATTGTTGCTGGTAAGTGGGACCTGTCGTGTCTTCCACGTGGAAGGCTTTGCATTTACCTGGAATTGAGGACTGGGCAAGTCTTGGTGCATTTCTGAAGTTATTGGCTTTGTCCTCCAACCTGATTTCTTGGGGTCAAATATTTTTTTACCTCTGATTAGGGAATAAAAAAGAAAAAAATCTCGGGAAACAGAAATTTCTATGGACAAAACATGGAAGGCTGAAAAAATATCCCATAGATGGAAAAGGAAGTATATACCTTGATTTGTTTTATATATGTTGTTACCATATATTATTACAACCTGTATTTATATAGAATATTTTTTTCCAGTTTAAGACTTTATCCATAATAATTTTAGGAAGATTCCCCCAGGTGACTTCTTGCACTGTGTGGCTCTCAGTCTGTCCTTCTGTCCCATCTCAGGCCTGTGTGCCATCACTGGAGTGTCTGTGTTTGCCAACATGCTGGTCACAAACTTCTGGATGTCCACCACCAACATGTACCAGGGAATGCAGAACGTCCAGAACAGGTGGGTGCTCAGCTGGCTCGCTTGCTACACGGTGGAAATCTCCCTCAGGGCTGCTGCTGAAGGATTGGCAAACTCTGGGAGTATGTTGGAACGGTTGCAGGACTTGGAAGATTGCTCTTAGGAGATAGAGCCTCTTGTCTGGGCTGGAGATAAGCAAGTGGACTGGGATGTCTCTGTCCTTGAAGCTCAAGAACGAGACAGGAGGAGGCCATTGGGGTTCAGACTGCAGGTGGGACTTCTGGGAACTTCTGGGGTCTTCTGGGTACAACTGTAGGGCCAGAGGGAGGAATATTCAGTGTGTCTCGGCAGCAGCAGACACCCTGTCACACCCTAACCAGCCATGCCTCCTTTGCAGGTACACCTTTGGCTCAGCCCTCTTCGTCGGATGGGTGGCGGGGGGCCTGGCCCTCGTGGGAGGCATCATGATGTGCCTTGCTTGCAAAGGGCTCATCCCAGAAGAATCCCGGTAAGCTGAGCTGGGTGGACATGGGAAGGGATTGCAGGAAACCTGGGGTGTCCAGATCTCCCACAGCCCGCCCACGACGTGTGGATGTGTAACACCCCTGCCATGATAGTCCTCGTGAGGATGGAAACACAGAGTCCCTTAGGTTGGAAAGGATCAGAGCCCAGACATTAATTCAGCACTGCCAAAGCCACCACTACCTGAAGTCCGTGATTAATGATTAGTGATTGGACCCTCTGTGGGTCCAAAGAGAGCATTTGGCCTCCCTGACCCTGTGACTCACACAAGAACAGAGAGGACATGAGAACTGACCTCAAAATGTGACATTGGCACTGTGCTGGCACATTCAGGCCCATGAACTGCAGGTTGCACAGCAGATCGTGAGATCAGGGGTAGACTGCATCAGCTGAGCCATGATTTACATGGAACTGTAGAATTCCAGAGTGGTTTCAGTTGGGAAGGACCTAAAGCCCATCCCATTCCACCCCTGTCATGTGCAGTGACACCTTCCATAGAGCAGGTAGCTCCAAGCCTTGTCCAACATGGCCAGGAACACTTCCAGGGATAGTGTAACATCACCAGGAACTTGTGCTCCAACGTAGCTGGTCACTGTAGGTGGGTCCATCACTCCACCAATGATTTTTTCAAGGGAAAGAAAGTGTGTGGTTCTGAAAGAACCTGAAGGGGACTTGCAGCTTTCCACGGACGGTGGGCTGAGCTCTCTGACTCCCTCCAAGTGATGACACAGCACAGAGTTCCCTAAAACCCACTGTGAGCACAGGGTACCATGTTGGGCAGTCACTGATGTTCCTCTTGCGTCTCTTCCAGCTACAAAGCCGTGTCCTACAACGCCTCGGGCAGGAACATCTCCTACAGGACAGGGCCCTACAAGGTTGGCTCGGGCTACGAAGCTGACCCAAAGACCAGGAAGGGTGCAGGATATGAAGAAGCTCCTCGAAATGAGGATGTGAGACGCTCGTACCCTGCGAAATACGATTATGTCTAGCAGACCTTCTGGCCTTGAGTTGTGCTATCAGATATTTTTAACTTCACAAGCAAAAAGTGCAGCAAACCAAGCAGTCTGTAAATAGGATTGTGTTTTCTAGCAAGTTTTCTCTACTCTGAGGTTGCATCTTTGTTGTGAACATCAGTTTTACTCAACTGCCTGTTAGTATTAACAGCACTGGGAGGTCTGTGACCAAAGTAAGACCCTGTGGTGCTCTCAGAGTGGAACATTTTGCTCCTATTTTCTGTATAAACAGATATACAGGAGCAGTGCCTTGTGCCCTTTCTTAATTGTTCAGAGAGCAAAAAATTCCCCTTTGATAACCGCTGTGTATTTGAAGTAAATTCAGTTGTGTCCCTTTGGCTGTGCCCAAAACAAACAGAGCCTGTGGTCAGGGCATTTTCCTCCCTGGTGACTTCTCTACCCAGTCCCACCTTTGCTTTGCTGATTGTACTCCAAGGCTGATCTGCTCTGATATTTAATCTGATTTCTGTTGCTTAGATGTTTGCTGGAGCCTGTGATAGCAAAGTGTATTTATTTCTTTGGATCTCTTCAGGGAATGTGCATAATCCATTGTTATTCCTGCACTAATAGCTCCCAACCTCCGTGTGCCACCGGTGTTCCTGCAGATGTCATCTTTAATGGGGCCAGGAGAATTTCTCATTCAGAATTAATTCGAGTTCCCTTTGGAGCAGGAATCCCAGGGAGCATTAGATGTGTAACTCCACACTGACATCAGGACTTCCCTGTGGTAATTCCCCAGTGATGGGAAGATTAACTTCATAGTGGAATGTTGCCTCCTCCAGCCAATCCATCAGAGAGGGAGTTTATTTGAAGGGGGAAGAGGGAGAACTTCTGTGGGAAGAGAGAGCTGTGAGCTCTCAGCAGGTCCTCCCACCTGGCTCCAGAACACATCCTAAAAAAGCTCTAGACAATGCCTGTGAATAGAAAGAAGGGATGAGTTAGAGAGAAAAAAGGGGTCCAGACCCTGCAAAATAACCATTTTAATGGCATCTGCATTGGGCTTGAGCACCACTCCTCAGGATTACAAGTTCTCTGAAGGAATTCAGGCAAAATGGTTACTGTGAAATGCTGGTGCTCCCTGAGTGTTTGATATCTTGGAGGGATCAGAATCTGCAGCTGAACTTTTTTTCTGCAGAGTTGGACCTTTGGAAGGTCAAGTTTCCACCAGCTGAGCTGGCATCTCTGGTGGCTCCTAAGATTAGAGGGGGCAGGCTGTGCTCCCAGTGAGCACAAACTGCACCCCCTTCTCCCTGGGTCCATCACTGCTCCATAAACCTCAGTTTCCATAAACCCCAGCTTTCCACCAGCTTTCCATAACCACCAGCTCTCCACCCCACATGGAGGCAAATCCCCAGCACAGGTACAGGAGATCCTGGGGAAGGTCAGCAAGAGGAAGAGGGAACACCTGGCAGGTGGCTGGAGGAAGCAGAGGGGTGGGAAGAGCTCCCAGCCAACAGCAGCTCAGGCTGGATGTTGGCCACCTGGGATAAATCCCTGTGGGATGTCAGTACTGACCCTCCCTTTTGTTCTGCCAAAGAACTTGCTCTAAGGACTTGTTTTTTAAGGAGAAGAATTTATTTTGCAGAGCTAGATCCTGTTCTATTTTAAAAACATTCCTGCTCTTTTCCATAGTTTGTATCTCTCAGTATAAACTTAAATTTTCTTCCTTTATTTTTTCCTGCTGGATTTTTTTTTTCTTTTTTGCTTGTTTGTTTTGTTGGTTATTGTTTCCTTTTTTTTACGTGGATATTAAAAAAAGATAAAGTCTTAAAGACCAGAATCACTGTTTCCAGTTGTTCTTTTCTTGTCAAAATCATCAGCTCCAGCCTTGCTGCTCAGCCAAACCCCACCAGCTCATGTTCCACATATTCTTGGAAGGAGTGTGGACACAGATGGGTGGTTCAGAGAAAAAAGAAAATATTTGGGTGTTTTATTTCTTTAGAAAGATATAATGAGTCACACGATGAGAGAAAATATCAGAAATTCCAATTAATAATTATTAGGGGACTTCAAATCAGTGATGTGATGAAGTCAGAGATCCTTGGTGGGACCCTGAGCTTGCTGAGGAGTAGAGTGCAGCAAGATTCAGGGTAGAGATTAAACACTTCTAAACACTTCATTGTTCTTATGAGGGCAGAAAAATTATGGGTATGTTCTCAGCCTCCACTGGAAAGGGGCTGAAAAGCCCAGGAATGTTTAATTTAGATAGGAAACACATAAGTGGTGCTGAGGGAAAGGTAAACAGGGGAATGTGAAAGGCAAGAAAACACACAGAAGAATTCAAAATGCAGGTTTACGACTGAGTTAGAACTAAAAAAAATTCCCGAGGAAACAGCTTTGAAAGTTACATTTTATTTTTCTGCTACACAAATGCTGCGACAAAGTCCCCGAGCCAGCTATCTCTCGGTCACACTTTGATGTGTGCAGGCGTGTAGATGACAAGATTAGGGGCAGGAGCCTTATGGGGAGCTGACAGAGAGCTGTATCCGGGAATTCCTGCCCTTGTTGGGCTCCTAATCTTCCAGCATCAGTTTCTCATTTCCTTGCCTCAGCCGAAAACTCGCAGGATGAAATATTTTAATGCAGCGAACTCCACTGAAAAAAATCCCATTCCCGAGCAGAGAATCATTTATTTATGAGCCTGGCTGTGGCGTAACTACACTTGGTGCTACAGCAGCTCCTGTGTTTGTGGCCCTCAGGGACCTTATCTCGTGCTCAGCACCACAGAGGGTGGTGAGCATCATTGCTGGGAATGACAGCACCGGGAGCATCCACGGCCGCGGAACTGCGGCTCCTGCTGCACGGAGAACTCGGGATCTGGACTCAGAGCTGCTGGAGAGAGTCCAGAGGGGGCACCAGGATGAGCAGAGGGATGGAGCAGCTCTGCTGGGAGGAAAGGCTGGGAGACTTGGGATTGTTCAGCCTGGAGAAGAGAGCAGGGGTGACCTCATTGTCGCCTTGCAGTGCCTGAAGGAGCCAACAGGAATCACGGAGAGAGAATATTTATGATGGACTGGAGTGACAGGACCTCAGACTGAAAGAAGGAAGACTTAGGTTGCATATACAGAATAAATTCTTGGCTGTGAGGGTGGAGAGGCCCTGGCACAGCTTCCCAGAGCAGCTGTGGCAGTTCCTGGATTCCTGGAAGTGTCCAGGGCCAGGTTGGATGGGACTTAGAGCCACCTGGGAGAGTGGAAGGTGTCCCTGCCCATGGCAGGGTGGGACTGGATGAACCTTAAGGTCCTTTCCAACCCAAACTTTTCCGTGATTCTGTGATTTCTCATCTGGGACACAAACCCAAGTATCCCCTTTTCAGCTGAGCTGATGTCTCCTCTAAGCCCTGAAGCCAAAATTATCTGTCTGGGAAACTTCTGGGTCTTTACTGAAGCCAAAGTTCCCTTTTCCAAGCTTTCCTCTGCAGCCCAACAGGCTAAAAAAAAAAAAAAAAAAAATAGTTGTGATACTCTAATTATTTTTTGGACTTAGAGATGCAGAAGCACCCTGAGGATGACCCAATGCCTTGGTGACAGCTCATCATGTCCCAGTGCTGTTATGTGAAGGACACAAACCCCTGAGCCTCATTCACTGCCCCCGTTGCAAAGGGAAAGGGGACACTTGCCCAGGTGCTGCCTGGGGACCATCTCAGGGCCACCTGCCCCAAACACAACCTCTGCCCCCCAAACCACTCATTGCAGGGGGACACTTCACCCCCAAGGATGTGAATTTGGGCTCTGAGATCCATGGCACGGGGCTGGAGCTGCTGGAAGGAGCAGCACGTGTGGAGCACACAGCACTGGACCAAATCCATCCTGCCTGGCTGTGGGCTGGGAGGAGCAGGTCCAGGTTTGCTGGGCTGAATTGGGCTTGCTGGTTTGACCAATTCCACAGCAGCAGGGAGGTTTGGGCCTCTGTAGCTGCCTGGATAAAACCAGATCCCTGAGACTGCAGAACACATGGCCCTGTGAGTAAATCCAGTGTTTCCAGCTGCTGTTCCTGGTGAGGGAGGGAAGAGAACCCTCTCCCACCTTTTATTTTGCCTTTATTGACCGTAAACTGCAAGGGATGGATTTGGCAGCACTTGTAGAACCAAGGGAGATGATCCAGGGAACTCATGAACAGTTGCTGGGGTTTCGTTCCCATAAATTTGATCATCCTCTGAAAAACGCATTTCCCATTCAGAGGAGCTAATTAAATCTAGGCTTGTCTAATAAAATCGACCTGCAGAGGCTGGGTGCATTATCTCACAGCTCTGAACAGGTTCTTTCCAAGCCTCTGCAACATCTGGAGTGTGTGAGATCACTCTGGATTTGCATGGAGTTTGACCAAGGGAAAAGCTGGAGCTACAAATTGGACTAGGAGATAAGAACTCTCCTGAAATCTATATGCAATTAAAAGCCCAATCTTCTTCCCTCTGGTGACAAGGTTATTGCTTTTATGGAGTTGAACAGAGATGAATGAGTCCATGGATTAATGGCAGTAAGATTTATGACACTGTGCTTGCCCCAAATATTATGGGAGAATAGCTCTCTGAGTGAGATATTCCAGCTGAATAAATTTGATAGGATTTTTATTTTCCTTTATTATTTTTTTTTCAGCTTTGGGAGAGCTGTGCTGCATTCAGAGCTTGTTACTGCTGTGGGCTGAATATTTGGTGATATTCCCTTGTATATTCATGATTTATAAAAGTATTACCAGTAACAGGAGCCCATGAAGGAAAAAGTCATTGGGAAAAACAAAACACACGAACTGACTGATTTGTGGGATTTCTTCTTCAATTAATTGGCCAGGTCTTTATCTTGCTCCCTCTGGGCTTGTTTTACTGTTCCCAGAGACTCTGGAGAGGATAAAGCCAAAGGAGTCACTTCTGGCAGGAGAAACTGGGTGTCAGCAGTTGGTGGAGACCATGGAAAACCCTCTGTGCTGTGCTGAGCTGAACAGCTGAAAAATTAGAAGGAGGCAAACAAAAACCCATGGAG